AATCTGGTTCACCGAACCGGTTGTTCCAAGGAGTAGCTGACCCGTCCCACCCTTCCTCTCCAAGGTGTCTCCATGCGGCCTATTTTGGAGGCTCTGGGAGGGCGAAAAATGGGCCTATCAGAAGTCCGGAAATGGGCCTGTTTCCGGCCTTCGGAATCCAGTGGAGGCTCGAGGAAAGGCCCTGGAGCCTGGGGAGGGTGAAAACGGTCCCCTCCTCACCAAGGTGCAGGAGGCCGAGTAGGCCATGCTCCCATGGCCACGCCCACATCAATCGGGCAGTGCTGGTTGCTGAAATTTTTCAATCCCACCCCGGTTGTGGTTTATGGGTGTCCTTGCTTCAAAGAATAAAGCAAGCAGGATTTCTGAGCCAATTGTAGGACGTTTTACTGGGAGAAAATTGGAGTTTGGGATCTCCTGGGTTTGGGCCCAGTGGTGTTTGTCCAAAGGAACCAGGGTGGATTTGATTTAAATCAAGTTGATTTAAATCACAATTTAAATCATGATTTAAATCACTGGTAAAAAGGCTTGATTTAAATCAACTCAATTTAAATCATAATTTTAAAGAGCAACTGTCATCTCTGCTACTCCTTTGACCCACTGTTGACTCACCGACGGTCACAGTGTTGCAGAATATACAGCCTCATGCTACATAACTGAGCTCCATTTCATGAATAAACTAAATTATTTATGTATCTTAAATAGAAAACTATCTTACGATCGATTTTTACCCCAAAAGTTTTTTATTAAAATAAATTCGATAAAAATTAAAAAAAATCCGATTTAAATTTTAAAAAAATCCGATTTAAATCAAAAAAATCTGATTTTTTTTTATTATTTTTTTAAAAAATCATTGATTTTTATCCACCCTAAAAGGAACCTTTTACAACACGACCGAATTGCTCTCTGTTTGTTTTTCCTGAATCCCTAGGAATTACTCTCCTCTTTTGACATCTCTCGATGCAATCTGAACCTGATCTGACTTTTCCCAACTGAGGTTTGTCCTCATGAATCATTTTCAAATGTTCAGGGACTCGGAGGAAAACATGGGGGGGGAAGGTTAAGTAACCTAATATCTGAGTTTCTTTCCATTATTGCAGCCTGGATAAACAGTGCATGCGTGTGCGTTAGAGCTGGATGCTTATTTTAGTATCTGGGAAGGTAAGCCAATAAGTGCTTTTGGCAAAAAAAGGAACAAAGTGTTTCTTATTGCTCAGCATAGCCTTTTATTGTAAAACGATCAAGGGGTCTGGAGGCTAAACCTTGCCATCAATGGGGAACTGGGTAGGTCAAGTCTAACGAAGATAAGGACTAGGGGTGATATTTATTGGTTCGATTTATATGCCGCCCTTCTCCGGAGATTCAGGGCGTTCAATGCATTAAGCAATAGCCTTCATACTTTTTTATATACCTGCTTAGTAGGGCTTTCGGGGTCCCCCCAAGCGGTGTTCTTTTTTTATACAAAGTCAGCTTATTGCCCCCACAATCCGGGTCCTCATTTTACCTACCTCGGAAGGATGGAAGGCTGAGTCAACCTTGAGCCTGGTGAGAATTGAACTCGCAGTAATTGCAGGCAGCTGGCAGCTAAGTGCTACTTTAACAGCAGTTTTTAGTCCGCTGCACCACCAAGGCTCTTTTTTTGAGAATGACCCTCCCTGTCCCCTCAAGGCAGGAGGAGGATCAGAATATAGCAATGGTACTTAGACTTATATACCGCTTCACAGTGCTTTACGGCCCTCTCTAAGCGGTTGATAGAGTCAGCCTATGGCCCCCCAACAATCCGGGTCCTCATTTTACCTACCTCGGAAGGATGGAAGGCTGAGTCAACCTTGAGCCTGGTGAGATTTGAACTCGCAGTAATTGCAGGCAGCTGGTGTTACTTAACAGCACTTTAGTCCGCTGCACCACCAAGGCTCTTCATATGATAGTCTTCCAGTACTTGAGGGCAGAGGTGGGCTTCAAAAATTTTAGCAAGGGGTCCTCTGTCCGGGTGTGGCCATGGTGGGCGTGGCCTAGCTGGCCTCCTGCACCACTGTGTGTGGGGGGGGTGTTTTTGCCCTCCCCGGGCTCTGGAGTTTTTCCTGGAGCCTCTGGGAGGGCGAAAACGGCCTCCCCAGGCTCCAGAGGCCCTCTGGAGGCTGGAAACGGGCCCGTTTCCGGCCTTCCCAAACTTCTTATTCTCTCAGCCCTGCTTTACTGAAATTGGTGCAGCTTTTTTCCCAAACCTGGAGCTCTTCTGGATGTTATATTGAAAAGCTGCTGTCCTTACTTTACCAGAAACATGATAGCAGTGTTCCGGTATCTCAGGGGCTGCCACAAAGAAGAGGGAGTCAAGCTATTCTCCAAAGCACCTGAGGGCAGGACAAGAAGCAATGGGTGGAAACTAATCAAGGAGAGAAGCAACCTAGAACTAAGGAGAAATTTCCCGACAGTGAGAACAATTAATCAGTGGAACAACTTGCCTCCAGAAGTTGTGAATGCTCCAACACTGGAAGACTTTAAGAAGATGTTGGATAACTATTTGTCTGAAGTGGTGTAGGGTTTCCTGCCTAAGCAGGGGGTTCGACTAGAACAGGGGTCAGCAACCTGCGGCTCTGGAGCTGCATGTGGCTCTTTCACCCCTCTGCTGCAGCTCCCTGTCACTCAAAATATGCGTCATAACCACCAATGTGCGACACTTGCTGGCATGTGATTTATTGAGCTTTTCAACCTCTCTTAGGCCAACCATGGATAAATCCAAGAAAAGAAAAGTTTCAAAAGAAAACAATATTTAATTCAACTACATATGCTAGTTTTTGGGCCGCTCAAGAAATAGTCAGGCACAGGAAAGGTTTTGTGACTCCCGGTGTTTTCTTTTCTGTGGGAAACGGGTCCAAATGGCTCTTTGAGTGTTTAAGGTTGCAGACCCCTGGACTAGAAGACCTCCAAGGTCCCTTCCAACTCTGTTATTCTGTTTCTGAAGAGCTCCAGGTTGGAGAAAGCTGGAGAACAAAGGAGCTGGGAAGTGGCTGATGGTTCTTGTAACTACAGGTGGCTCTTGCTGTTCCCATCCTGCAGTCAGCAAGGCAGTCCCAGCTTCTCCTGAACGTTTGAAAATAAAAGCCAATTGGCCAATTTTTTTCTACAAGGGTGATCTTTGTTCTGCCCAGCTACGTGCCAAATGAGCCGATGAAAAGTCTTCAGAGGAGCTTCAAAGGATGAGCTGAGTTAATGGACCAATTAATACACTCGTTTACAATTAGAAGACCTGGGATGACTTAGAAAAATCGCCAAAGGGTGACAAAGGAACCAGTCAGGGACGCTCTTATACCCTTGACAAATATCGGTTGCACAGTTAGTACAATCTCTTGCTTGCCTTTTAATCATCCAAGAGTGAATAGCATTTAGACTTATATACCGCTTTATAGTGCTTTATGGCCCTCTCTAAGCCGTTTACAGAGTCAGCCTTTTGTCCCCAACAATCTGGGTCCCCATTTGACCGACCTCGGAAGGATGGAAGGCTGAGTCAACCTTGAGCTGGTCAGGATCGAACTGCTGGCAGTGGGCAGAATTATCCTGCAATACTGCATTCTAACCACTGGGAGGGAAGGAGGGAGGGAGGGAGGGAGGGAAGGAAGGAAGGAAGGAAAGGAGGGAGGGAGGGAAGGAAGGAAGGAAGGAAGGAAGGAAGGAAGGAAGGAAGGAAGGAAGGAAAGGAAGGAAGGAAGGAAGGAAGGAAGGAAGGAAGGAGTAGCTATAGCACTTAGACTTATATACCGTTTTGCAGTGCTTTACAGCCCTCTCTAAGTGATTTACAGAGTCACCTATTGCCCCCCATATGTGCGAGGGGAACCTTTACCGTTACTTTATGTGTTATAAATAGTCTATTCCTGGGGACAGTAAAATTTAGGCTTACAAAATCAACCTTTCCCCCCGCCTTTCTTTAATTTGCTTCCTCTGGGATCTCACCGGAAGGAAGAGAAACATTCTCCTTGAATTTGACAATAAAGGGACTTCCCAGCAGATCCCAGAATTCATTCACAACATTTTGAGGGAACCAGAAGATTTTTCAAGCTTGTGTGTGTGTGTCTGTCTATCTGTCTTTCTCTCTGTGTGTCTGTGCCCAAAGCTAACAGCTGCATCAACGTGGCTTTTCTCTCTCATTGGAAGACTGTCTGCTTTTCTCCCCCTTCCCCTCCTTAAATACACACACACACACAGAGAGCAGCTAAAAAGCCAGCCCACAGCCGAAGCACCACGGAGCTCTCTCGGCTCCCCCGTGCAGCGTTGGGGAAGGGCTCAACCAGGAACCAAAAAGATGCGCTTTCGTGGTTGATGGCCAACAGTCCACACGGACTGTAACATGTAACAGTAACAGCTGGAAGGGACTTTGGAAGTCATTTAGTCCAACCTCTTGCTCACACAGGAGACCTGTACTAGGGATACGAACAGGGGTAAAATGCTCCCGGTTCGGACCGGATCGCCCGATCCGGTAGTGATGGCGGCGGATGGTTCGGAGAACCGGTAGCAAAAATCCCTGCCTCCCCCACCCCCCTATGCCCAGCTGAGCTGTGCAATCATCAGAGACTTTTTTTTTTAAAATTTTTAAAAGCATTTTTTCTACAACCACTTCGGCCGAAAAAATGCTTTTAAAAGTAAAAAAAAAAATAAAGCCTCTGATGATGGCGCGGCTCAGCTGGGATTGTCAGAGGCTTTTAAAAGCTTTTTTTTTTTTACAACCTCTTCAGCTGAAAAAATGCTTTTAAAAGTAAAAAAAAAAAAGAGAAGTTAGCCACGCCCACCCAGTCACACTACCCACCAAGCCACGCCCACAGAACCGGTAGTAATTAATTTTACATTTCACCACTGCCGACCTTTCTGATCGACAAGCTCAGCGTCTTAGCCACTGAGCCACCTAGTCGGCCTTCAAAAATTGCATTTTTGCTTTCCCCCCCCAAACTCTATCCTTTCGTGGACGTGTCTGTTTTGCTGGCGCGTGGGCCCTCCCTGCTGTTAACCTCTGCTGAAGAACTGGTTGAAGATTTTTTTAAAATTCTGTTCGCCTTAAATTTGGCAAGTTTAAGCGAAATATAGCCGAGGGTGCCTCTTCCCAGTGACTCACTCAGGCATGGCTGGGAAAAGCTGTTGAAGCTGCAAAAAAAAAAAAAAAAAACCTCCTTGGCAATCTCCTTTGCCTGCCTGCCACCCACCAAATCCTAGAAATAATTCTCATTTCAGTTTCCCCAGAGAGAGGACAACGGGCTCAGCGTCTCTGTCGAAACACCCGCAGAATTAAGAAAGCCAAACTTTCAGACTTTTTATAAAAAAAAACCAAACAAACTCCAAATATTGAACAGTGACACCTACCGGAGCTGTTCTTTTCATCGGCTGTTTGTAATGAAGCAGATGGAAGGCAATGTGACACTTCGCTGGACTTAAAAGAAAAATCCAGCCGCTTGGTCCTAAGTCCACCTTCCCTCGGCTAGAGAGCACTTGAAGGATTGAGAATATCGGGTAAGCTTGCAATTCTGTTCCTGCATTAAGCGAGAGGGAAGAGAGAAGGGGCAGGGAAGGGAAGGAGGAGTGGAAGGACGGGAAAGCTAGAAATTTGCCATCGGGAAGGAGATATAGAAGCATAGCCAGCCGCACAAACAGGCTGAAGAACAGTTTTCATCCGTGGGCTGTCAGACTCCTGAATGCAAAATTTATTTATTTATTTTTATTGTTTCAATTTGTATACCGTCCTTCTCCAGCAGGACTCAGGGTGGTGAACAGCCAGAATAAAACAGAACATACAAAATTTAAAAACAGTTTAAAAATTAAAAATAAAAATTTTTAATAGTTAAAAATATTTTTGGCCGCAATTTAAAACAACCCAATTAAAATCAATTAAATTTAACTAAAACAGTGGGATCAAGCCAGCCCGGCTAGGTGAAATAAATAAGTTTTCAGGGCCCGATGAAAAGTCCAGACGTCTGGTATTGTACGTATCTCTGGGGGGAGGTTGTTCCAGAGGGCGGGCGCCGCCACAGAGAAGGCTCTCCCCCTGGGGGTCGCCAGCCAACACGGTCTGGCGGATGGCACCCTGAGGAGGCCCTCTCTGTGCGAGCGTACTGGCCGGTGGGAGGCTATTGATGGCAGAAGGGGATCTCGTAAATACCCCGGCCCTAAGCCATGGAGCGCTTTAAAGGTGGTCACCAACACCTTGAAGTGCACCCGGAACACCACCGGGAGCCAGTGCAGCTCGCGCAGGAGAGCTGTCCCATGGGAGCACCCGTCACTCCCATAATCCCCCGCGCGGCCGCATTTTGGACCAGCTGGAGCCTCCGGGTGCACCCCAGGGGGAGCCCCATGTAGAGAGAAATAACATCATGACTACATAGTACAATGGACTTGCAGGGCCGGGCGCAACATGTAACATGTTCACACGGGTACAATAGAACTGGATGTTTTGTTAATATGATTTATTGGGTTAGGGGTTTTCTGTCTTCACTGTGAGTTGTTTTGTGCTGGGGGGGGTGCATTGTGGGAGCTCAACCAATCTCTTTCTTTTTAAAGTTTTTTTATCAATAATACAAATTTAAAGGCATTGGACAGGGTTTGACTTTTTTCATCAATTATTACCTTGGAACAAATACAATTTCTGATCGCTATACATACTTATATTATTCATCACATTTCAAACACGTGAGTTCTTTCATCGGTGAATGTTACATCACTACCCAGTTCATTCCTATCTATCACAGACGACTAGCGTAAAGGTTTCTAAACATTCAACTCATCAATAATCCTTTATCCCAGCATTCTTCCTCCTCTCCATGCAATAATAAAATTTGTTCCAGATTTCATAATACTCTGATTCGCTCTTATCCTTGAGTTCCAGCATCAATTTCCATTGTCCATTTCCGGACAAGTTAAGATTTTAGCTACTTCTTCTTCTATGGGCGTCTCTTTATTTTTCCATTTTTGTGCAAAGGCCAATCTTTCTGCTATTAATATATGTAACACTAGATACCCTTATTGTATCTCATTGTACATATATTGTGCACTGACAATAAAGGTTTGAATTTTGAATTTGAATTTGAAGAAGGGAAAAATATGGGGAGCTAGAGAAAAAGAGGAAGAGGAATGGAAAGAAGTGGTCTTCAGTAACAGTAGAGTAGGAAGGGACTACTCTACTCCAACCCCCTTGTTCACACAGGAGACCTGTCCTAGGGATTCGAACCGCCGAACTACCGACTTTTCTGATCGACAAGCTCAGTGTCTTAGCCACTGAGCCACCTAGCCAGGTTCAGGAACTCTCAAAAGTTCTAATAAAAATGGAAACCCTTTCATCGCTTCAAAGTTCTGAATTGAGTTAAGGGGCTGGATGAGAGCCAGGAACTCAGGAAATCGAGTAAGCAGAAGACGAGGTTTTCCTGACCATGGATGGTGCTTGGTGTTGGTTTCTGGTGGACAAAGATAGTGGAACAGAGAAGGCTGATGGTCGTGTCTTGAGAAGGAGATAAGGGCTTTTTCCTGGAAGGCTCTTGCCAAATAAGAAATCACTCAACAGCTTTGTCTGAGCAGGTTTGCGGTTTAATAACCGGGAATTACCACAGTCTGAAGGGTTTGGAGAAGTCTCGGAAAGACCTTTGAACGAACAAGTCATTTGTTTCTAAGCTGATTTTCCCAAGAAACAGGCAGTCTGAGCTAATCCTAATGAACGTCAGATGTTCTTGTTTCTTCCTTTCCTCGCTCTTTTTTTTTTTAAATCCAAATGTTCAAATTAATCTTTCGTCATTAATTATTGCTGCTTTTGTGACTCTGGCTATCCTTAATATCACTTTTATTCTCTTGCTTTTCTGGCCTTAGGACATTTAAGGTGTTAAAAAACAAAAACGGCATGCATGAAGAGTGAATTTATTTTATTTAATTGTTAAATTTAGATTGCCGGTTACCTCACCGCCCAAAGTGACTCTTAATTGTAGAAATCATTATCCTAGAATCATAGAAATCATTGTAGAGTCTTAGAAATCATTGCTTAGGAACGATTCAAGGCAATGTTTCCTTTTTGCTTTTGCAAATCGTTTGAAAGCAAGGACGTTAGGACTTCTTAGCAAGAGCATCTTTTTAAATTAATGTTTAATTAAACAGTAACTGAGAAAGGACAAAACACAAAGAAAATGATGAGGGAAAGATACATTCTCAAGGGAAAAACAATGCATAAAAGTACTTTTAAAAAAGGGGGAAATGCAAGAATATTATGAAGATAAAGGTAAAAGTTCCCCTCGCACATATGTGCTTGTCGTTCCCGACTCTAGGGGGCGGTGCTCATCTCCGTTTCAAAGCCGAAGAGCCAGCGCTGTCCAAAGACGTCTCCGTGGTCATGTGGCTGGCATGACTCAACGCCAAAGGCGCACGGAACGCTGTTAACTTCCCACCAAAGGTGGTTCCTATTTTTCTACTTGCATTTTTTTATGTGCTTTCGAACTGCTAGGTTGGCAGAAGCCGGGACAAGTAACAGGAGCTCACCCCGTTACGCGGCATTAGGGATTCGAACTGCTGAACTGCCGAACTTTCGATTGAGAAGCTCAGCATCTTAGCCACTGAGCCACCGCGTCCCTTTTAAGAATGTTATTAGGGCATCTTAATAAAGAAGTTGGAATTGGCAAGTTAAATACAGGAAGAGTGAAAAAGATGATTAAGGGTTTGGCGATTCCGTCATAAGGAAGATTGGTTGGTGTTTAGCCAAAAATCTGAGAGTTTGAATGCCTTTAACGGGCTGCCAGACAGAGGATGGAGCAAACGTATTTCATGTTCCCCCAAAGGATAAAACCTGAACCAACAAGTTTACATTTCAATCCAAATATATATTTTTTGCTAATTATTAAGAAGAATTATTGCCAAATTCTTTTGTCTGTGAGTTTTAAAAATTATAGTGGATTTGAGAGGTGATTTCAGCTAATTTCCTGTATTGGGAAAGAATTGGAATTCAATTACCTTTATGGCTATGTTCAATTCTGGCTTTTTTTAAGGGTTTTAGGAGGATTTCACCTTCTGAGATGTTACAGAATTTCTAAAAAAAAAAAAACCAAAGAACCACCAAAACAAAATATCTGCAATAAAAAAAAGCACGTGATTGAAAATTACCTCTTTTGGGCCAGCCAACTGGGTATTTATCTTATAAAATGTATGTTCTCTAATGCAACCTATCGAACGGTGACTAAATGAATTGTTGTTAGACAACGACTTCCTGTAATGACTTTCATCTGGCCGGGTCATTCATTTAGCCTCTGAATGACTCAAAAAGCCCAGCGAAGGAGACCTTACCACATCATGTGGCAGGCTGTTCCACTGGCTGACAGCTTGTACAGTCAACAGGTTTCTCCTGGCATCTAACCTGAACCTTGTTCCTTGCAGTCCGGTCTCCATTGGTTCTCTTCCTGCCCTCTGAGTCATTTGAAAATAAGACCAATCCCCTGATTAAAATGATTTCTTGACAGCATGAATGATTTGTTGTAAATTAATCTCTGTTTGGTGTCTTTGGGATTAAGAAATCCCCACTGTTTTATAATTGAATTTCCGGGCAAATGAACGGAGGGTTCTTGCAGCACCGAATCTGGGGCATATTTCTACTTCCCTCAGGATGCCGCTATAGGGCATTGCACACCAAAACAACTAGACACAAAGAGAGTTTTTTTTCCCCCTGTGCCATCACTTTGCTGAACACTTAATTCTCACAGGACCGTTTTAGGCCTAAGGATATTCAAGGTGAGTATTGCTGTTATCCTTCTCATTTGCTCATCTCTCTCTTGTCATCTTTTCTTCTTCTCATTTTTCCCACTACCTTCTCCTCTTGGTATCTTATCATCTATGATTTGTTGTTTGCATCTGACGATTAATTATTGTAACTATGATTTATGATCTATGACCTATCACCTTGTTGTTTGTATGTACACTGAGAGCTTAGACAAATTCCTTGTGTGTCCAATCACACTTGGCCAATAAAGAATTCTATTCTATTCAACTCTACTCTACTTTACTCTACTCCACTCTACTCCCAATATTCTATTCTATTCTATTCTATTCTATTCTATTCTATTCTATTCTATTCTATTCTATTCTATTCTATTCTATTCCACTCTACTCTACTCTACTCTACTCTACTCCCAATATTCTATTCTATTCTATTCTATTCTATTCTATTCTATTCTATTCTATTCTACTCCCAATATTCTATTCTATTCTATTCTATTCTATTCTATTCTATTCTATTCTATTCTATTCTATTCTATTCTATTCAACTCTACTCTACTCTACTCTACTCTACTCTACTCCCAATATTCTATTCTATTCTATTCTATTCTATTCTATTCTATTCTATTCTATTCTATTCTATTCCATTCCATTCCATTCCATTCCACTCCACTCCACTCCACTCCACTCCACTAATATTCTGTTCTGTTCCGTTCCATTCCATTCAAAAATAAATTTCAAATGCAGGGATGTTGGAGAAATATATTCAGATCTGA